CCTCGGTGTTGCTCCCGCGCCTCGCTCAGCCAGTGAGCGGGAACTGGTCTGTATATGGGATCCGAACCCTCGGACGGGAGCGCCGCCGCGCTTCCCAAGCGGCGCACTATCCAGTGCGCCACCGGGCCGGCCGCCCCATCACTATTCTGATTGGTGTGGGTGAGATGGATCGATAAACTTCACTTTGCTAATAAATAAATAAACTAACAAATAAATGAATATTCTCATAAATAAATAAATAGTCAAGGGTTCAGTTCCCTGTGCCAGCCAGCTGCCCAAAAATAATAATAATAAATAAATAAATATTCTCTAAGGAGGTGAATCTCCTTATAGCTTTAGGGAAACTTTCTAGCACAATCCATGGAAAATCACAAGACGTTTTTTCCCCAAAGCTGCACCCCTGAAAGAACACTTACCTTTCATTTTCCAGTGACTTCAAAATCTCAGTACTTTTCTTCTGCCTGTGGGGTAAACCACAGAAGGTACCTGCAGTCACCAGCAGGCCTGTTTTCAACAGGACTGCTCCCGCATCATGGCACTGGCTGTGCAAAGGGGGCTCAGGAACTGGGCAGGGGACACCTTAGCTCCCCCACTTAGGAGCTCTGTGTTCTCAGGCCAGTTACTCAAACCACCCTAAGCCCCAGGTTTCTTCACCTGTGAAATGGGAATAATAATAATAATAATAAAACAACTTCTTGGGGTGCTTATAAAGAATAAATGAGGAAATATATATCAAGTGCTTGTCACATAAGAAACACCCAACAAATGGTAGCTTTCCTGGCTCACTCAGGCACTGACAGATGGAGGAACAAGTGACTCAGAAGATAGAAAAAAGGATGCCTGGAAGCAGCAGGGGATGGGGCTAAAGCCTGTTTCTGGAATCTTTCTGCAATGGACCCCTCACAAGACTTTTTTAGGCTTCTTAAGATCTCTCTGCCTCCTTTCTCCCTGGCCCCATTAAGACCTGCTCTCAGTAGCTCCTACCTTGGACAGGATTTGTTAAAGCAAATCTCTCTACAGGGTGAATGGCTGACCTCAGTGCAACAGGTTACCTGGAACCCGAAATATTGGAGCAGGATGTGATCTCAACTATCTTGTTAAACTCACCCATTTTATAGATCGAAAACCTGTGCCCAAGGCCACAGGTCCGAATCAGTAGTAGTCCCATGACAAGAAATCAGACCCTGCGATGCCTGGATCAGACTCTTTTCTCTGTTAGTTGGTGTGAATTAAAGCTCTCAGATCAGATCCTAATGATGGACATCTTGGGAAGGAATAGATACCATGAGGGAGAAACGGACCTCCATCCTGGGCTCCTCCAAGGGTATCATGGTGGTGGAAGGACCCTGGGGCTGGGAAGACAGGAGCCTGACCTCTGATTCTCCTGCAGGAGTTTCTGGATCCGGTTGGAGATGTTCTGCTCCGTCTGTTTCAGCTGTTCCAGCAGCCGCTGCCGCTCTGCATCCAGGTAGCGCTGGCGCTCACTCAGGCCCTGCTCCAGCCGGGACTGCTCCTGTAGCAGGGGGCAGGTCCTGAGCTGGATGGGCCCCCTCAGATGCACGGGCCATGCGGGTGCTGACCATCCCTGCCCAGCCAGTCCTGTCTGTGTGACCTTGGGCCACTTCCTCCCTAGCTAGGGCCAAGGGTGTCCATCTGCACACGAGGAGGCTGGACTGGGTGACTTATCAGGACCCTCCCAGGTGCTGGGGATGGAAGAGTCAGGAGGCCACTGGCTGGGGGCACAGACAGGCCTGAGCCCACCTGGCCGCTCACGAACCTCCTTGACTGTCTGAAGAATCTCGTCCTTCTGACTGTTACTCTGCTGAAGCAGCTGGGCGTGCTCCCGCTGCCCAAGCTCCAGGCGTCGCTCAAACTCAAGTTTCTCCAGCATCTTCTGTTCCTGCAAGAACACAGATCCTGGTGACTGTTGGCACAGGTCCTGTGGGCATTAGGACGTGGGAGCAGGGTGCAGGTCTCGATGCTGAGCACCCCCACCCCTGGCCCAGCTGTCATAAAACGGGCTGTTCCCTGCAGAGGCTGGTGATTTAGAACCTGGGATTGGGCCCACCCTCTCTGAGCCTCAGTCTCCTCATCTGTCAAATGAAGACAGTCCCCTCCCCCTGAGGCTGCATGAGGGATAATGCATGTAAGAGGAAAGCATTGCTATAACCTCTGACTTAGAGCCAGGAAGAAGTCGCTTCCTCAGATATTTTACGAGTTATGACATCTTCAACGAAGAGAAAAGTGACAGAGGAGAAAAGGCATTTTCTTACCTTCCTCTTCTCGTAGTCTGAGAACCTATTCTGGGGGGAAAAAAGAGAGTGGTCAAGAGAAGTGGGCAGCAGTGGTCCTCACTGGCATGTGCCCCAAATCACCAGGGTGGCCTGACATCATACAGACTCTGGCCCATCCCGTACAGCAACATCGGGATGGGGATGGGTGTTGATAAAGGGCCCCAGTGGGACCATGGTCACCAGGGTGAGAACCGCTGGGCTGCCACCGTGTCTTGGCGCCATACCTGTCCTATGCTAGCTCACCGCCAGGGACCCAGAGGGCCAGCCCGTCACTGGTGCTGACACTCACGCTGTTTCCTTTGCTAGACCATAAGCACCCTGGCCAGCAAGTGGCATGTGGTCAGGAAGTATTTGTTGAGGGACAATGAGGAACACAGACACGATCCCTGCTCTCAGGTAGCTCTGTCCAGCAGGAGAGGCAGGCATCAGACAAGTCACTTCCTGTGTAGTTCTCCTTCGATCTAGCGCTGTGATAAGTGCTACCAAGGAAACATGCAGGGCGCTCTGAGAACACGTAATGAGGATCTGACCTGGGCTGGCCCTTCTCAGAGAACATGATGTTTAAATTGAGAACTGAAGGATAAGACTAGTAAGTGGAGAAAGTTCCAGACACAGCTGGTGTTCGGCAAGCTGATGGGGTGAGGCTGCCACAGCAGGCCTTGTAAAAGTGGCCGAGCACATGGGTCTGAGTGGTGGTGAGTTCTGGTCTGATGAGGGGATCCAGGGGCTGCAGCTCTGAACATTCTCTGTGCCAGCTCCTCCCATGCGTATGCACACGTGAGAGCAGACAGGCCACCCTTACCTGCCATTCCACCTCCTCCCTGGAGAGCCTGTCCGTGGGCCCGTCAGGGCTGTCCTGGGAGTTCTCGGCTCCATCTTGTTCCAGAACTGGCAGCAGGTACTGGGAAGGGGGGTAGTATTCCAGCCCAGATTCTGCAAGAGATGAGACACAAGCTGGCCAAGAGGGAGGAGACAGCTGAGGTCCCCAGAGACACCTGCTCCTGCCTCCCTGGCCCTCCTCCTCCCTCCGTGGCAGCCTGACCACCCCAACTCAGGCCACTGCTCTCTCTCTTCTTCCCTAGACTGGGCCCTCCGCGCTGCTCACTGGTCCTACCCTGGCTGGGAAGGTGGCCAGTGCTTGGTGAATGTCAGGGGAGTGAGGAAACAGGCACCTCCTCTGCCTCTCCACCATCCAAGCGAGTGAGGTGGTGGGAAAAGCCTGAGATTTGCAGAGAAACCCGATCGGAGACCCAGCTGACCCGGTGATTTTCCATGTGTGGGACCTTGGTCAGGAGGCCCTGCAGAGCTTCCTCCTGCATAATTTGAGAGGGCTCATACCCTAGACTCATTTCGCGTTGGGCTGCTGGCCTTTTTCTTGCTGGTTTGTGGGCACTCTTTACATATTGCAGTTAATAACCTTGGGTAGGCCTATATTGTATGTGGCAACTCTCCTTCTAGGTGGTACCTTGTCTTTCTGATTTTGATGATGGTGTCCTTCTGAAGTAAACAAGTTTTAAATTTTGATGTAGTTAAAGTTATCCTTTTTTCCCTCCTGGGAAGGATACAAATAGGCAATTCACAAGAAATACTAAAAACAGTCAGTAGACATGAAAAAAATATTCAAATAATCAAGGAAAGAATATTAAAATACTAATAGGCTCTCTTGTTGACTGGTCATATCAGCAGACTCTTTAAGACAGCACCAAGTGTAGCCAGGTTGTGAACAGGAAAAAGGTCCTCTCAGATAATTCTCATGGCGTGGACACTGGTGTGACTCTCCAGGGAGCACCGGAGAGTGCCCACCCCTTTCACCCACCAACTCCACACTTGCCTGCCCTGGAGGAAAGTTCACATGGTGCCAGAGAGGGGTGGGTTGCAATGTTCCTGACAGTGGAGAATTGGATGTAACTGCCATGTTCACCGGAAGCTATGGGGCTCCACCATATGAAATACAACCAAGCAGTCTAAAAGAACATTTTTTTTCTCTTGGAGGTGGTATGGGGATCCAAACCCTTGACCTTGGTGTTATCAACACTGTACTCTAACCAGCTAAGCTAACCGGCCAGTCCTTAAAAAAACATTTATTTATTTATTTATTTTCCTTTTTGTCTTTTTTCGTGACCGGCAACGGATTGCAACCCTCAGTGTCGCGCCCGTACCGGACGGGGACTGGCAACGGGATCGCAACCCTCGGTTGCAGTGCGCCACCGGGCCGGCCCTAAAAGAACATTTAAACAGGAAAATGGCCAAGGTTATTCCTGAATGAAAAAAAGCAGGGCATAGCATCATACAATATGATACCTTTTAATGTTTTTTAATATTATTAAAAGAACAAAACAAAAATTTTACATATATATGTATACTCCTACACAGTTTAAATAAATTGAAGGATTATTTCTTAAGCTGTGTAGTAGGTATACATACGTTCACTGCTTTATTCTTTACATCTGTTGTATACCAAAATATCAAACAATTAAAAAATCTTTTTTAAATAAAATAAAATCTTGGTCTAGCTCAACCATTGGTCAGGGTGCATATTAGACTCAAAGACTCCAATGTGGCAGATGTGTGGTTGCCGTGTAACACTTTTTGTTTTTTTAAACAAAATGTGACATACATAAAGAAATGAGCACAAAATCTCCACATGTAGCCAGGAATTGGTGCTGGCCCAGAGCTCGTGTGCACACATTCCTCCACATCCCATCTGCGAGATTCCTCCAGGTTGTTGCATGTGGCCGTAGTTTGTTCTTTTCCATTGCTACGTAGTATTCACACACGAGTACAACACAGGTGACTTATCTATTCCGCTACTGTTTCCGGTTTGAGCTATTATGAATGGTGCTGCTATGACTGTCTTCACACATGACTCTGGGCACGTTCATGTGCATTTCTGTTGGGCATATGCCCAGGCATGGAACTGATCGGTCACAGGGCATTTGAATGTTCAGCTTGAGTAGATATTGATGATATTTTTTCAAGCAATTTTCTATTTCAATTTAACACTGCCACCTGCGTATACAGAAGTTCCTGCTGCTTCATCTTTGCTAATCTTGGTATTGCCAGTTCAATTTTGTAGGTGTGTACAAGTATTTCTTTGCAGTTTTAATTTGCATTTTCCTGTTGACTAAGTGATGCTGAACACTATTTTTTTCAAGTACTATTGGCCATCTGGATATTCTCTTCTATAAAATTCCTATTCAAGTTTCTTGATAATGCCTTTTCCTTATAGATCTATAGAAGCTCTTTTTATATGTTAGACACAAGTCCTTTGTTGGATATGTATGTATTGCAAATATCATCTCCAACTCTATGGCTTTCCTTTTCTTTCCATAAATGGTATCTTTTGAAGAAGAGAAGTTTTGATTTTAATGAACTCTAATTTACCAGCTCTTTATGGTTAGTGCTGTCTGCCTAAGAACGAGGTTAAGGTTTGTTCTATCCACAAGGATATCCAATTGATCCAGAATCATTTACTGAAAACACCATTTGTTCCCACTGCTTTGCAGCGGCACCTTCATCACGAATCACATGACTGTATGTATGGGAGTCTTGGCTATGTTCTGAAAGTTCCACAGGTGACAAGAACTGCTAATTCAGCTTGCCCTGCCTGACAAGGGGTACTGCTCTCTCTTGGATGCAGACCTGTGGCAGCTCTGGGTTTTAGCTCCTTCTGCTGCCCTGCCCTTCTTCCAAGCACAGGCCACTGTTGTCTCCCCCCTAGATGATCCCAATGGCCTCCTAACTGGTCTTCCAGCCTCCACTCATTCTTGCCTCCTCTGATGCCTTCTCCTCCCTGCAGCTGGAGTCATCTTTATGTAAAAAGCAAAGCCACTCACATCGCTGTCCCGTTTGGCTCTGCTCTCAGCTTCCTCCCCATCTCTCTTCCATTCGCTTCAGCCTCCAGCCACACCGGCCTTCTCCCCATCCCACTTCCAGTTCCTCACCCCTCAAGCCCTTTAATATGCACCTCCTGCTGCCAGGAACATCCTTCTCTCTTGTCTAAGCTCTCCCCATCCCTCAGGGGTCATCAGAGCCATTTTCTCAGACAGGCCTCCCTGCAGCCCCAACATAAAGCAGACCCCCATTATACTCTAGTAACCATGGCCTGTCATTCTATTCCCTGCATGACCATTTGTCTTGCCAGTTTCCCTTGCCAGACCTTGAGCTCCAAGCAGGCAGGGACTGTAGCCACCTCGATCTCTGCTGCCCCCAGCCTGGGGTGGCACAGAGTGGCCTCTGGGGTCATGTGTCCTCATTGAGTGGAGGTGGCAGGTGGACTGGCATTACCTTTGCAGAGGAACTGCTGGATAGCTGCAGTGCCGGCGCCACACACCTCCTGTGGGGGGTAGACCATGGCTGAGGCGTCGAGGCTCAGTGTCTGTGGACAGAGGGGACCCCTCTTTACTGTGTGGTTCACGTCACTGCTCAATACAACCAGAAGCCAGCTGGTTTCGTCATCAGCCTGGTTCACCGTCCATCTCCCCTGCCCGGCAGGTGCGCCCAGACAGCAAGAAGGCTGAGCCATCTTGTCACTTGCTGCTACACTCCCAGACCCAGGCATAGCAACCGGCATGCAGTGAGCACTTGGTTACCATTTGTGGATAAATACATGAGTGAGTGAAAAAAAGGAAGTTATAGGACAGCCTCTGGAATATGATTCCATCTTTGTTAAAAAATACACACACCCGACAGAAGCAGCATCTGCTCTATGATAATACTGGGGGACCTGATCACACCTCTCAGCATTGGACAGATCATCTAGGCAACAAATGAAAAGAGTAACTATTATTCTTTCAGAAGAAAAGAAGAAATCTAGGGTAATCAGAGGGAGGAGGGGGGTAGGGGAGAGATTGCACAAGGGGCATAAAGAATAATTACAATTTGTAACAATATATATGCTAGTAATATTGATTTGATCAACATATCTCAATGTTGAACCTCAAAAATATGTACAATCAAGTTTGATTCAATAAATAAAATAAATTAAAAAAATTTTAAAAATACACTCATCCACTGTCACAGCAGTGCATTATAGAAAAAAATTTAGAGAAATATATATCAAACTCAAAGTAGTTTCCTCTTTTTTTTTTTCATGTACAGGTGCTTGAGGATAGAAAAAGTGGTTTCCTATAAAGGAGAGATTCTGGGGTACCGTCTACATGAAATGTTTTTTAATATTGAATGTTTTAACAATATGCAGTATGACTTTCTACATAAGAAAAGACAATGTTTACTAGAGCATGCATACACATGTTTATGTGCTTATAAAGGCCAGGAAGCAGGGGCTCAGTCTACTCCCCTCTCCACCCTCCCCCACAAGGCTGCCCCTCCAGTGTGAGGTGTTTTTGGACCAAGCCCTCCTCCTGCCAACTTCTGGCTTCCTAGGCCTTCTGATCCCACCAGGGCTGGTAGGAGTTACTGAGGCCTCTTTTGGGAGCTGATATTCTCCATGCTTTGGGGCTAGGGGAGTCCTGGAGCAGGGAGAAGAAGGTTTGGGAGACACTGATTTTGTTGCCACACAGGTAGCTGGGTGGGAAGGCCCAGCACAGCCCTCGCAGTGTCACTGAGGCCAGCTGCCTCAGTTTGCTCTGTCTCTGTGCTCACCACCCACTCCTGTACAGACAACCTCTGCACAGCAGTCTGGCTTGAAAGAGGTAACCTCCCTATGGCTCATCAGAGGATTCTGGGATGCCTGGCTGGACTGTTTGCCACCATGAATGGGTACGTCCCTGTTCCAGAAGCTGAGCTGCACAGAGGTGAGGAGCACAGGTGAGGGACTCAGACTACCTGATGGACATCCCATCTCCACTATTACTACGTGTGTGGCCCTTGGCAAGCTTCTTAAACTGTCTGGGCCTCAGTTTCTTCATCTGCAAAATGGCACAACAGTATTTGCCTCACAAGGCTTTTGTAAAGATACAGGGAGCTAACACAGGTCAAGTGGCAGCCTTAGAAAGTACCAGATAAATGAGATAAATGTGAGCTGTGTTGTTGTCATGACTGTGAGAGCCCAGCCTCCCCAAGTAGATTGCCGTGTGTCGATGTCGGTTATAGCTAACCCGTGTCCCCCCAAATTCATATGCTGAACACCTAACCCCTGTACCTCAGAATGTGACTGTGTTTGGAGGTAGGCTCTTTAAAGACGGGATCAAGTTAAAAAGAGGTCATTGGGCAGGGCCCTAATCCAGTATGATTGGTGTCCTTCTAAGAAAAGGAAATCTGGACACAGACAGGGACAGAGGGAAGACCACGCGAAGACACAAGGAGAGGATGGCCATCTACAAGCCAAGGACAGAGGCCTCATAAGGGACCAACCCTGCTGACACCTCGATGTCAGACCTTTAGCCTCCAGAACTGTGAGATATAAATTTCTGTTGTGTAAGCCACCAGTCTATGGTGCTTTGCTGTGACAGCCCAAGCTGACTGATAGGAGGTGCCAGGAAGTGCTCACCGTCCCCACCCCTGCCCCACTATGCTCTGAGGAAACTCAGTTTCTGTGTCTGCCAAGCTAAGGCACAGACCGCTCCCTCCCCGACTCATGGCTCCTGCTCCCCACAGCCCCCAGTTTTCTGGGTCCATTATGATCTGAGCCCTGCAGGCTCAGCAACTTCCAACCACATCCACTCCCTCGCCGTTCCCAACACATCCCCTGCTTTCTACCTCCTGCCTCTCCAGAACTGCTCCCTTTGCCGCGTGCGTCTCTTATCCATATCTACTTCACAAGCTATTATTCCTCTTTCAAGGTCTGGCTCTGGTGCTAAGACTTTCACCTGGACTCAGCATCCACTCGTCTTCATTCTAGAAGTATGTTTTTCTGCCTCCTTTATGGCAGCAAAAGTCACAGAATTACAAATGATCACGTACTGTCTCTTTGTGAACTCCTAGGGACCATGCCTTGGGATCTCTGTGACCCCAGAACCTTGTGACCAGCGCAGGCACTCAGGAATGTAGGCCAGACAGGTGGGACAGGCCAGAGAGGACCCCAGGTGGGATGGCTCCCCACTTACCTCCAGGGTTCGCACATGAGCCAGCATCTGAGGCAGTCTCTGAATCTCATTTTCACTGATGTCAAGCGTACGTAAGCTTCGGAGTTCCCCCAAGGTGTCTGGAAGGTCCTTCAGCCTGTTGTCTGGAGAGATGCCAATGGCACAACTCAACACCCCAAAGTCCTGTCACCCGCTAGGACTCGGGGGAGGTCAGTGCCTCACTCTGCCCCCCAGGGCACGCGCCAGATCTGGGAACCTGAGGCTGCCAGATGAGTAAGAACAAGCCGACAGTGGAGTTCCAGTTCAAGTTCCCTGGGTTCAAGTTCCCACCCCACCACTTCCTAGCTGAGTGACTTTGGACAACTGGTGTTACCTCCCTGGGCCACAGTTTTCTCATCTGTAAAACGGGGATAACACCATCTGGCCTGAAGAACACTGAGGGATTCAATGAGATGGCGCACGTGAGGTCCTCGGCACAGTGCCTATCCCATAGCAAGTGATCAGTAAATGCGGCGCCGCTATTTTTATTGTTATCCACACGTTGTAATTAGATTAGCTGAGGCGTTCTGTGCAGAAAGCACCCGAGCACAGTGAGAAGAAACAGAAGAGCTGGGGGTACGGTGAGCCCAGCACTCTTTTGAGGGTAAGGAGACTGCTTTAGGATCTTGGCTTTGTCACTGTCTCATGGCTCTCTGAGCCTCACTTTCCTCATCTGGAAAATGGGGATAATAGTGCTGCCCTCTGCAGGCCTCAAGGGCTTGTCATGAGGCTTGCCACATTGCTGAGTGGGAATGCACTATTCCCTGAGTGTAACGTGCTGCTCAGACCTGTTTCCAGGGCTCCTCGCCTGCTCTCGCCCAACAGTCCACTCTTCCCACCGCTCACTATTACACACATGAATGACCAAGTCTTGGGGCCTAACTGCCAATGCCGTCTGCCCTCCTCCTCACAGGCCCTGTCTCTGGTTATCATGGAAATAGGCTGACCTAGTAGGAGGTCACTCCAGTTTATAGTGACACCTGGAGACTAGCTGCCCTCATGCTCAACAGTTCCCAGGTGGAGCACCCTGTGGATCCCAGTAAGGACGGCCCAGAGCTGACAAAGGATCACAGGGACAGGGCTTCATGGCCCCCTTACCTTTCACACTGAGGGTCTGGAGCTGGCTCAGGTTCCCAATGGGACGTGGGAGGTATGCCAGTTGATTCCTTTCCACATTCAATACCTACAAAAGGGGAAGAAACGATATGAGAACACTCTCGCAGACAGCAGGGACTGCCCCTGCACCCCTCACCCCTACTTTGGGCCAGGTGGCATCTGGGTGCCACACACACATGTCTTCATCTCCTCCTGCCAGCCCTGTGAGGAAGGGATGGATTGTTATGATCCCATTTGAGAGATGAGAAAACTGAGGCTCGGAGTGAAGGCACATGCCCAAGGCAGCAAAGCCAAGCCCTGCGCCCGGGTCTGGCTGTAGTACCATCATTGACCACAAAACACCCAATAACTGCCCCACTCGCAGGGAGAGAGAAAGAAGGGGACGAACAGACTCGCAGATCCAGGTGAGGTGACCCACAATGAGGCTCTAGCTGTCCCAGTGCCGCATAAAGGCAGTGTGACCTGCCCAAGGTCTCAAAGCCAGAAGCTGGAGGTGCTGGGATCGGAACCTGGGCTTGCTGGATTTCGAAGGCCACGTGCCCTCCAGGATGTGGCATCACAAGGTGAGCAAGGCCAACAGGATGACACACTAAGTAGCCATTAAAATTCGATATAACGGAAAGCTAAGTAGCCATTAAAAATAATGTGGCAGATGAATATTTAATGAACAGTGGATGGTTATGACTTATTGTCAGGTATCCAAAAGTCACAAAACAGTAAATACTACAATTTTATAAAAGTATACATATTTTTAAAAAGTCCCCAAAGATCCAATGCCAAGGTATTTACTGTGGCTCAAAGTGGTGGCAATTACTACTGTTCTGCCACATGTTCTCTGTGTGGCGTTGGACAGTTACCATCTCTGGACCTCAGTCTCCTCTTCTGTGAAATGTGATAACATCTCCTACATTGCGGGGTTGTTCATCCAAGTCGTTCCTTAGTGCCCCCATGTGCTAGGCAGTGTGCTAGGCAAAGGTGCTGCCCGTGCACAGATCACACTTTGGGAGGGAAGACAGCCTGTGAGTCGGAAACCCAGCGTTAGTAAGTGCAGGCTGCCACTGTGCTCACAGGAAATGAGCTGAGGTGCAGACAGAGATGAATAAGGGGACCCACTTAGGGCAGTCGGGGAGATGGAGGGAGAGCCCTGCAAACGGCCCCAGGAAGGGCCACTCAAGCATTAGGAAGAGCCCTGCCAGGATAAGGCGCAGAAAGTGTGATGTTATGATATGTACATGGTGGTTTTCATCCACGGTTCCTAGCTCCTAATTCCCATTACCCTGTTCTTTCGTTATAACGCTGGGATGCTTCAGTCCTCAGAAGCAGGCCTCAGAGAACAGAGTCTTTCTCTGACCTTCTCCTGCCCTCCTATGACCTGCTCCTTTTTCTCTCTGAGGCAGAATGTTATAACGCTGGGATGCTTCAGTCCTCAGAAGCAGGCCTCAGAGAACAGTCTTTCTCTGACCTTCTCCTGCCCTCCTATGACCTGCTCCTTTTTCTCTCTGAGGCAGAAAGTTTCTGACCTGATTTTTGGTCCTAAGACCCCCACTTCAGGAGGGGCCCTGCTGCATACTTGGGAGGAAGGAATGCTGCACCAAGAGGCCAAGAAGCACCTAACAGACGGCCTTGCTGGTGTCCCCACCGTTTGTTAGTGTTGGATCAAACCCTTTTTGTCCAATCACATTTCTACATGTTCATTCTTCAGTCATGCCTATGTAATGAAGCTTCATAAAAACCCAAGAGCATGGGGACTGGGGAGCTTCCAGATAGCTGAACACAAGGAGGTTCCTGGAGGGTGGCACCTGGGGAGGGCACAGAAGCTCCACATCCCTTCCCCATACCTCACCCTTTGCATCTCTTTGTATCCTGTGTAATATCCTTTACGATAACCTAGTAAACGTGAGTGTTTCCTTGAGTTCCATGAGCTGCTCTGGCAAAACTGAACCCAAGAAGGGTGTTGCGGGAACGCTGATCTATAATTGGTGGGTCACATGTTCCAGGGCCTGGACTTCAACTGGCATCCGAAGCAGGGCAGTCTTGGGGACTGATCCCTCAACCTGTGGGATCTGATGCTATCTCCACATAGATAGGGTCAGAATAGATTTGAGTTAGAGGACACCCAGCTGGTGTCTGCTGGAGAATCTTCCAGAGATTTGCTTAGTGTGTGGGGAGAAATCCCCCACATCTGGAATCAGAAGCATGTTGTAAGAGTACAGTGGGAGAAACTGAGTGTGTTTTTTCCACTCAGAAGTACAGAAAGGTTTTAGGAGCAAAGGGGAGAGAGTAGGAGGCTGGAAACACAGGCAGGCCAGCTGTGTGGGGTCTGCTGGGTCCTCGTGAAGAGAACAGATTTCAATCCAAGTGTGACGGGAAGCCATCTCCTCCTCCATAAATGGGGGCTGCACTCATGCCTGCCTTGCGGGGTGGCTGTGAAGAGTCAACAGATAATGCAGGGACGTGCTTAGCTCAAAGTAGGGGCTGTTACTGACAAGCTCCTTGAGTGAGACACGAGTCCCAGTGCTAAATTGACAATTTTTAAAAGGCAGATTTACCAGGTGCTTTTTTTCTGTAGAGCTGTGGAAGCTCATGATGAAATCCCCCAAATCACACACCAAAAATATGGTAGAGACACCCAGGGCCCAGGCTGCAATGGCGAATGCATCCTTTGGATGTCTCAAGAGCAAAGGGGAGGGTGGATCTGGCACCAGGGGTAGCCAGCTTCTACTGGCAAGAGCACACCAGAACATTCCAGACTCCTGTCTCTGCAATTCTCACTCAGGTGATCAGAGGCGGGTTTCTGTTTCCTGCAGCCTTACCTGGAGGGCTGTCAGCTGTCCTATGTCATCAGGAAGAGCCGTCAACTGGTTATCGTGGAGATCCAGAACCTGCAGAAGGAATACACCCAGTATCACCAACTGAGAACACCCCTCAGATTCCAGACTCCAGAGAACCAAGAAGGTGGCCAGGGTTACCACATGCCTCTGGTTTTGAAACACACAATATTTATCAAGTATTTATTTTTACCGTGAAGTGAAAAAAGTATAAGACAGTATGCATGCTATGCATACATACACATATATTTACTGTTAAAAAGAAAAACACCCCATGGATAAATATATATTTGCATAGAAAAAAGACTATCAAATACACAACAAAATATTGATAGTGGTTCTCTCTATTGATAGTGTGAAATTATGTATGTTTTCCCCCTTTTCTTTGTCTAACAGTATTTGCTAATTCATTGTTGTTTTCTGGTTTTTTGCTAGCCAGTACAGGGATGAAACCCTGGAACTTGATGTTATCAGCACCATGCTCTACCAACTGAGCAAACCAGTCAGCATTGCTATTTTTAAAAAAAATAATGAAAATGAGCAAAAAAAGCATAGAAGAAATATGTATATGTATATATACATATATGTAATACACATGTGAAATATAAATGCACAGAAATACAAACACATTTGAAAAATGTTCTTTTTCTGAATACAAGAATGTATGTTGGAGTAGAAAAATAAAGAGAAGTAAAAACTACACCCAACCCACACCAAGCAGAGCTAACTATGAAAAGCACTTGGATGCCTATGCTGCCAGTCTCTTCCTTTGGTGTGTAGACCCACTCTCACAAGCTTATGCTCACGTGGAACAATCCTGGAGTCAAATCTCACAAGTACTGTGACTACCTCCCAGCCCCTGTCCCAGAGGGGCTCATAGTCAGGACAGAGTCCTCCCAGATGTGGGATTTCACATGTCAGCTACATGATGCCCTGGACATCCCTCCTATTAATTCTTATTTAGAACCATCCATTTCCTTGCTCTCTGCTAGTTTACTTACCACGAGTTTATGATTTGGCTTTCCACCTAGCAAGTAACCTTCCTGAGGGCAAGGCCTGTGGCTGGTTGTCTTTGTCACCACCGCCCATGCACAGCACATAGAAGTGCCCAATAAACCATGTTGACCAAATCCCAGATTGACCATAATATTATTCCCTTCGTGGTGGGGGAGGAGGGGTGTGCAGCTGGCCACTACAGGGATCAAACCCTGGAACTTGGTGTTATCAGCACCATACACTAACCAAATGAATTAACCAGCTAGCTCCAGATTGACTATTATATTAGGCTTACTGGCATCAATATTAATACAGGAGACCCAAAGGGAGCAGGGAAGCTTGGCTTCCACCTGGAACAGCAGGCAGACACTGTGACACCTGGAGAAAGGGCCCAGTACCTTGATGGTTGCAAGACTCACGAGGCTGCAGGATTTAGGAAGCAGGGAAGTGAGGTGATTCGTATGGACAATCAACACCTGTGTGGAAAAGATTTGAGGAACTATCAGGTTGATGAAGAGCGGCAGTCTGAGGGCGAGGCAGCCAGCTCAGTGTGGGACACGCCCAGCAGCCCTGCCATGCCCAGGGCATCTCCACTCTCCAAGACACCGCAATGAGAGATGTGGTTCAGAATCATGGAGTCTCTTAATGTGGAATCAGATGACCTTAAGATCTGGAATGTCAAGGGTGAAAGGGATCTTAGAGGTCTAATTCTACCTTCCACCCTGAGAAGAAACCCCCTGCAGCCATCCTGACCTTAACCTTCCCCGGCTTCAGTATCTTTAAATGAAAGATAGAGAAATAATACAGTATCTGCCTCTCAGGGCTGCCATGATGACTAAACAAGCTGATGGACAAAATGTCATTAGCCCAGGGCTGGCACACGGTCCACTGCTCAATCCGTGTCATGTATTGCTATTTTGTTAGGCATCAACCATTGCTTTAAAACTTCCAGTGACAAGCAGCTCTCTACGCTGTTGGTATGGAACTCCTTTTACCTATCTTCGTTTAGACACTTCATTTGGAACCGTGTTACCCATCTTCATTCAAAGCTGCAATGTTCTTTTGAAATATCATTCATTCCACTCTGAACCTCCCCTGGGTCACCAGAATGACAGTATACTTTGCATTATTATTAACAGTGGAGTTACTAAGCACTCACTATATGGCGGGCATTATACTCCTCTGTCTATCTACGTATCGATCCCATTTAATTCTCACAGTATCTCTTTAAGAAAGTAGAACTAT